GAGCAGCTGCAGCGGCTGAAGGCGGAGTTCCAGGCGAACCGGTACATCACGGAGCAGCGGCGGCAGAGCCTGGCCCAGGAGCTCAGCCTCAACGAGTCCCAGATCAAGATCTGGTTCCAGAACAAACGAGCCAAGATCAAGAAGGCGACGGGCATCAAGAACGGGCTGGCGCTGCACCTCATGGCCCAGGGACTCTACAACCACTCCACCACCACCGTGCAGGACAAAGAGGAGAGCGAGTGAGGCGGGCGGCCCCCCAGCCCTGCGCCGCCGCACGGCACGGCCCGCCGGCCGGGAGGCAGACAGGTGCTATTTAAAAGCAGATCTATTGTCTATCCATAGTATAAGGACTCCGATTAAGAAAAAAAAAATATGGACACTTACAAAAAAAAAATTATCTCTATATAGCCAAACAGCATATGACCTTGTATATATTTAATTTCAGGTAAGAAATATGTGTAGCGATCTCTATTTGCTGGACAGTTTCTCTCTCCCCTTCTCTCTCTCTCTCTTTCCCCCTCTCTTTTGTTCGTTTGTTCGTTTTGTTTGCTTTACTTTTTTTTCCCCTCTCTCGATGTCCGTTGCTCTTGTTTTACAGTAAATGTCTGACTTTCCTGATCTTTCGTTTGATCTTAATTTTTTTTTGTGTGTGTGTGTGAATTTCTGTCTCTTTTTTTTTTTTTCCCGAGGAAAAAAAAAGAATAATTCTGATCCACAGACTGCGAGACTGAACCCGCCGCTACAAGCCAAAGATTTTATTATGTTCAGAAATCTGTAGTCTGAAATAAAGTGTAGACTGTGTTCAGGATCCAGGCTGGCTGTAATTCTTTATTTTAGTGTATGGCTGTTTGTATATATATATATACACAAATATAAAAAAATAAATATATATACACATACGCAATATGCTGCGTATATAGTGCCATTTCGGTGGCGTATTTAGGTTTTGTTTTCGATGGATCAGTGCAGCAATTTTTAAGCCGCTTGTCCCCTGTTTAAAACCCTGTCACAGACCTTCGATTTTTTTTACTTTTTTTTTTGTTTCTCTTTTTCTACCCTCTTTAAAAAAAAAAATAATCTCTTTGGCTGTTGCGGTCGTGCCTCGCCTCCCGCATCTCCCTTTTTAACTAGAAATAAAAACCACCTCGTAATAATGGTAATAATATATCACCAGATCCTGCAGGAAAATTGCCTGAAGCCGTCTGGACGTTTAGAGCTCCGGGATGCGTTGAGAAGGGATTTGCCTGACAGCTCCTTGACTCGCTCCGAGAGGGTCTGCTCCGCACCAGGGATCCAGCCAGGAGCTCCCCCCCCCGGGCAGAGCAGAGCCGCGG